TTACACAGTTATAATCCATACAGATATCCCCGTATCATATTACCTACCATTTAATTCCCTTTTTTTAAGCAAAAATTATTAGATGAGTTCAGAAGGAAGAGGTGGAAAAAGGTCTGATTCCTAACCAGGAGAGGCATTATCCAGAAGTTCTCTCGAAACATCTAAAATAACTGCCATTTTCAACAAGGTTTGAGAAAGCTTAGAGGTCTAAAAGTTTCTACAACTCTTGTGAAAACTGGCAATGAGGTGAAGGAGGTGCCCGTTTCAATGGCCCACAGTGTAAGGGGCTACAGCAAGAGCTCGGGCATCACCCATTTTGCATGGGCTGCCAACTTACCAATGGAACAAGAGCTGCATTTTGCTCAGACAATAACCAGAGGGATACTGGATAGAACTCCTAGGGCCAAAAAAAAAAAAAAAAGATAATTCCTTCGGCTAAGGAGATGTAAGCAAGGAAGATAAAAATCCATGGGAAAATGCATTTAATTCCACTGCTCACGTGAAAGTGGTGGCATTTCTTTTATAATCCTATACTCGTGAGTGACCTACAAGAAGGAGGGGTGTCAGGTAGAAATGCGGATTTGTTCTCTGTTTTCTTCCTTTAGATACAGAAAAGACTCTCTAGATAGGGCAGTTGTCCTTATGTAGTGGGAAGGAAAAAAAAAAACAAACCCAACATGTAAATTTGCTACAATGTCTACAGTTTTGTTGTTATTGCTCAGAACATACCTCTCTGCAGGATTTTAGAGTCTGTGGTTCTGATTTCCCAACCTATCACTTGAAGGCACAGCTCTTTGCAAGATCAGGGTGCACATGGTACCTGTGAAATGAATACACTTACATCACCAATAGCAAAGAGGAAAAATTTGAATAATAGAGACATAAGCACTTTTGTTCAGTGTTTAGAGAGGTCCGTGGTGTTAGCCTACAAAGTTTTAGAACTAATACAGATTTGGAAATTAAGAGATGGCATTTGTTAAGATTCATCACTCCTATTGCTCTGCTGAAGAGTAGGAAAAATCTTTCATCTTCTTTTGCAGGAAACAAAAGAGAACACACACACACAAAGGTCTTGATATTACTAAGATGGAGGGGGAAATGTGGCAAACAATTCCAGCTTTTCCAGATTTTTCCATATCCCTCATGAAGCCAGAAGTTTATAGCATTTAGCTGTTTTCCTTATTTTCTCCTTAATACACCATTCCTCTTCCCAGTTGTTCTCCCCTATACTGAATTTCTTCCTTAAAAAATGTTCACTTTAATTGCTAAAGTTTATGGACTCGTGGGAGAAAGGGCAGGAAGTCAGACTTTGGGGATAGGGTAAAAATGTAAAGGTCATTCACACACTCACACACACGTACTCTCTCTCACTCCAAAAATAATACACTATTTGACAGTTTCAGGATTCAGCATGTCCCATTGAAATTTAAAAGCTTATGTGAAACTGGGCCACGTCCTGTAACCTCAAACATTTAGTCTAGGAAAACAGCTCTCAAGTCTCCAGCTCCCACATCGGGTATCGCATGACGTCTGTGCCAAAGAGGAGACCTCAAAGAGGGGGGCAAAAGAAACGTTGGTAAAATGAGTTGATTAAACCTGGGGAATAACAGTTCAGACTGTTAGTGACAGGTATTATTTTTTCTGGTTAACTGGCTAGTGAAATATTAAATTATGCTCAAAGCATCTAGAATATGAGATGGGCAGAATGGTCAAACAACCTACTTATGTTCCATGTGGTGGCATGGACAAAGGAGAAAGACAACTCATGCTTTCCCACAAAATTATTTTGTGTTTCCCCTGCTAATGTGTTAGTTATTGAAAAATCACGTTAAGGTTGAGGTTCAATATTTCCTCATACTGATGCATCATAACACATCAGACATCAATCAGAAAAGATCATTGAAGCTATTTAAGTTCAATTCTAAACTTTCCAGTAGTTGCACATGTACTCTGTTCTTTCTGGGGAATAAACAATTAATCCTGTGTGGTCTAAGGATTATTGTTTATTTTCCCTCACCCAAACGTACTCTTCTCCCACTCTTTAACTGCAATTTCAGTACGATGCTCAAAGAACACATGGAATGAGTAAAATAATCAGTACAATGAGATGTGCCAAACAACATAATTGTAAACCCTGTTAAGCGATACTAACTTGAGCAAGTAAGAGAGAGAAGCCAGCTTCACATCTATTAAGCAAACAATTGTTTACTGTTTCTTTTTTTATGTTGAAATATCCTCTTCTATTGCAAATACAAACCCAAACCATTTTCATAACAATTTCTGCAGGTCAGTACTAAAATTGTACCTTCATCACGGCAGTAGATTTTGTCTACTGAACAGCAGTGGTCACTAGCAGACTGAAGTTTTAGGCTCTACTCCAATTCTATTTTTGAGACATCATATTGCTGTAGACAAACAATTAACACTTCTCTTTCTTACCCACTTTTATCAGGAGAAATCTCTAATTGAATTAATATTTCTAAAGTTAAAGAACCTTGTGTAGCACATCTGATTTCTACATAAATCCAATATTTCTGTCCCCTTCTAAGCTATAATGAAAATTAACAGCAATTCTCTATTCCTGCCATCTACATGCCTGCATATTGAATTTCACCCAAAAGAAATAAGCAAATATTATGAAATAGTCTTTGAAATGCCATAATGTCAAAAGTAGGCCTAGCTGCAACATCAAACAAGATAACATGAAGCATATGGACAGATTTCAGTCTCAGTTAATAAAAGAATATGTATTTCACCCATTGTTAAAAGGAGGGCCGTACCTAGCCTGGACTTCTTGTTAACAGCATCACTGCCTTCAGACCTCTTAGAAGACTTGCTAATTATTCTTCCAGAACTGGCAGAAACTTGAGCTCTGACCAGACTTACCCACAACACTTGCGGCAGTTTAATGCACTAGAGAAATCAAAGTTGTATATTTGCTTTTTTACAAAGAAGTTCAGTACTTATTAGGCATTTGTATTCTGTGACTAATATGACCCTGAGAGGATGTATAAAGTCCAACAGCATACACACTTTTTTAATTATTTAAAGGATAGCTTGTATTTGTTAGATTCAAAAATTCTTAGCTAAACAGTTGTATAATAGGATACTCTTACAAAGGTGTTGAACTACATATGTGTGCAATTATATTGTAATTACAATTTTAAACTCGATTATGTAAATATAAACTGACAGAACAATTAACAGAAAAAGAAAGCAACAAATAGCAGACTTTCCTTTGCTGAATGACATTTCTAACAAAACTAATGCAAGTTTTTACACAAAAAGGGAATGAATAGCATTTATATTGTTCATGGGCTTCTGCAAATTGAGCCATAACTCCCATCCTTCCTAAAAGCCGCTCTCCTGGCTTGTGCCATCACAGGACTACTTTTGCAATTCTCCCCAGCAGCACATGGGAGAGCTGAGCCGGCACCATCCCTTTGCACAGACAGCAGTCCTGCATCACACCATGTTGATCCATTGGCCTTGAATATTGCAGACAGCCATAGTTCTATAATCAGACTCAGAAAACATTATATATTCACAGGAAGAGGGTCCCCTTTTTTCTTGGAAGGGAGATCCCAATACTTACAAACAAGTAGAAGTCTCACTGGAACTGCAAGTTCCCAGATCCCATCTAAAATTTCACTGTGAGTCATCTCCATCTCAGCCTTTTACATCTACATACAAGGTGGAGCAGAATTACAGCTGAACCACAGTTAGCAGCTGTAGCAGCCCGAAAGCTGCAGCCTCGCAGAGCTGAGGAAACGAGGGTAAGGTCTGCAAGGCAGTGAAACAGCCTGCTGAGAAGAGGGGAGTATTTTTCTTCATTTCAGTCAGTCAAAGCTCAAGAAGAACTTAAGTTTTGTTGTAGGTACAGCATTGTTAAAGCCTCAGATGCTTACATAAAGGCTTTGGACACATAGAATAGAATTATTTTGCAGTTACACAGAAAGCTAGAAGATACCGAGCAACACCAAGCAGGTAAGACATTGTCCTTACTCTTTCTTTGACAAAGATCTAGAAAACACCTTAGGAAAGCCTCAACTCACTTTTGTAAGCTAAAGCCAGCTGATATTTTCAGAAGGCATTGCTGATGGCTCCTGGCCTGCTGTCAGCCAGCCAGAGTGCCCAGGAGAGGGACACCCGATCCCACAGCAAGCCAGGGGACACCAGGGGCTCCCTCTGCCCCAGGAGAGGGACACACCACCCCCACATCGAGCCAGGGGACACCGGGGGGTTCCCTCTGCCCCGGGAGAGGGACACCCCGTCCCACAGTGAGCCAGGGGACGCCGGGGGGCTCCCTCTGCCCCGGGAGAGGGACACCCCATCCCACAGTGAGCCAGGGGACGCCGGGGGCTCCCTCTGCCCCGGCAGCGGTGTAGAGCACTGGCTCCAACCCCGCACCGGATTCAGTGAAGGCAGATGTAGGGCCAAGAAACCTGCCGAGCAAGGACAAGCTTCTCAGAAAGGCCTGTGCTGGCCTCCCCGCTCAGCCCCGGCCCGAACCCGCCGCAGCGCCCACGACCGGACGG